GGGGAGGGGGGAGGGGGGAGGGGGAGGGGGAGGGATGCACCAGACGAACAATTCCTCTCTCCCTATCACGAGAACGGATCTGACAGCCGCAATGACCGGAGGGAAAGTGTTCGCTCTAGTGAGCGAGACTGACACCCGGAGCCAGGCAGAAGAACGCGCCGAAAACGAGCACTGCGGACGTACAGAGCACAATATACAAATAATTTTTTTTGTGTGTTTTAATCACATCCATCATATGGATAAGTAACGCCCACTCAAGACAAAGGAAACTTCCTACCCTAGTAGCACATATCATTTCAACATTGATTCTATGTTGATTCGCCACCCGGGCGTTGAATCAGCGTTGAATCCATGTTAAATCAATGTTATATGCTACTAGAGTGTAAGAAGAAAATTTCCCGAAAACAGAAGAATTGTAATTGCTTATGGACAATTTAGTCCAAAGCTGCGATAATAACTTAATTTTGCTAATGAAAAAAAAACAAGAGAATTCTCATTTAATTGGTTGGTAAAGTATTAATATTACCATGGTAAAGTAAAATCGCTCATCTTTGAAATGTGAGAGAAAATGAGAGTGAAAATTGGAGATTTTGAGGAGCATGGTCTTGAGCATGGTCTTTCTCACAGAGAAAAGTCCAGCCTCCGGCGATGAATCGAGAGTCCTGGGAATTTCACTGGGCGAATGCGGAGAAGAAATTTCCCACACGCGTCTTACTTTCCAAAAAAAAAATTCCTTAAATTCCCTCAATCTCCTGCAGTGCTCGATTCAAGGCGGAGATCGATTGATGAATTTTCGATTGATGAAGAATCGATTACTGATCTATGAGGAGGTCCATGAAGGGAGGGAAGGTCAATGAAAAGGTCTATGAAAAGGTCGATGAGAAGGTCTCAAAAGATAAGCCCTTCATTCTCGTTGACTATCGATATAATCGTCTAAAGACCGTGTTACACGAAGGAGTGGCATTTTAGATCCATTACACATCCCCTTCAGATCTATTTAACATCCGTTTCGTGTCTGGTTCACATCCGCTTTACCTCCCTTTTTCCCCCTTCTTCAAAGGCCTTTCTTTCCTGAAAGACTTCGGGGAAAGAGTCGATTCCGTGGTGCAAGGGCTTATCTGAGTCCTTAATCCGTCGATCCGCTCGATCCTTAATCCTATCAGGAATTTCACGGATCGCTCCATTCAGGACTAAAGAGTGTCGAAAGGAAGGGGCTCTCTTTGGGGGATGCGACTTGGTCTTAAATGCGTCTTTCCATCCATGCATGCAGGAGAGGATGAGGACAGGATTCATGAGTCTCTCGTGCCATTTTCCTTATGGAACCTGGATCCACTGGGTCTTAGCGTCAGCAGGATTTGGAACAATGTGGATTTAGAACTGGGTAAATTTGGAACTTGGTGAACATTCTTGCAGCAGGTAGATTTCCTGCCTAGAGGGACATCCACCTGGGTCCAAATCCACCTGGGACGTTCACGTTATGTAAGGGTTCTAAGCAGAGACTTAGCCCATCAAAGGCCATGCTTTCCAAGGGGGGAGGGGCATAAAGGTCCTTAAATTCAAAGGAATAGGCAATGAATACATTTGGTATGCAATGAAACTGAATTTTCCAGAGGAGTTAAAAAAAAACCTCATACATCGCTTTCAATACGGTGTCTTGGAAATACCCTCTTTTGTTGCTCTCTCCTCACCAAAAGAACGATCATATGCGAAGGAAAAAAAAGCAAGGTTCCAGATGCAGCTTTCATTGATAAGCAGTATCTCATATCAATGTTTTACATTCACTTATTCATAATCCCGCATAGTTTTTACTTATTTGATGCGGCATGTATCAGTCAATTTCGTTATCTCCATCCTCCATAGATTCTCAAGTGAACCGACCGACATCCCATCGTCGAAGTCTCCTTGCCACGATGAGGACGGAGACCGGCCCTGTGATATTCCTCATGCTCAACGCGACCCTCCCCATGCTCAACGCGACCCTCCCCATGCTCAACGCGACGCCCCCCATGCTCAACGCGACGGCCGCACCCGCCGGGAACGGGACCGGCGGGGCGTGCGACGCGTGCGACTGCGGCGGGGCGTGGGTGGCGTGCACCACGCCGGACACCCTGGACGCACCCCCGCTCGTCCCCAAACCGGAGGCTGTCACCGAAATGTGAGTCCTTCCCTCCGAGGTCAAGATTCGATCTTAAAATTTGGTTCGTTAAACCAATTTTTAAATTTTATTGATTTAGCAAAATTTCAAATTTGCTTGCATTTTGGAAATTTCATTTCACCTCATCTGCAACTAAATTACTTTTCTAAATGTTCATTTCTCATCCCTCTTTACGTTCTTCAAATACAACAATATTCAAATATTATCCGTTCTATATTAATTGAAATTTTAAATAAATTTAAATCACACTTTCTAAAATTGAAACATTACCGGACGCTGCACCGAATCGTGAGTCCCATGACCTTGCTGCAGGGAAATCCGGGACCAACGGAATTTGGTGACCCTTGACGGAAGCGTGCTGTCTGCTTACACCGGCTTGAAGAAACTGTACGTCATTATATTCATTATCTTAATTAGCATTCAATTTTGTGGGGAAAATGGGATAATTAAAAAAACACAAACTTGCGGCTCCACTCCAGCTTCTATGGCCTTTCCAGGTAAAAAGTGGAAATAAAGCCCAATACCCCAAGATAATTCACATGCCACAAGGTAACTCAAGCACGACAAGGTAACTCAAACACGACAAGGTAACTCAAAGGCCACAAGATAACTCAAAGGCCACAAGATAACTCAAATTAGACCTTCCGGTTTCCATTTATGACTTGAAGAACCGACCGACGACCATTCCCAAGTCAGTTCTCCGGAAACGAGTTAGCAAATTTTCTCATTTTCCTTGCAGGAAAATAACATTGTCTTTCCGCCCAATTTGCTCGCTCGCAGGGGGAATCGTGAGAGGAATCGTGAGAGGAACTGTGAGGAAATTTCCTCGCACCGTCTCGCCCGCTTCTAACGAACTTCATAATTGCTTTTCTATTTGGTCGAGCCTCTCTTTCAACATTCGCGCCGAATTGATAATGATGCTAATTTTCTAATTGCCCCTCAGATAATGTTAATATATGGAATGGTACATACATTGTAACCGACGCGATGTAGATGAATGAGTTCCCGCCAGCGAAAAAGGGCCGTGTGGGTCATAAAAATGGCAAAGTCGTCGATATTTGAACGTTTCTTCGCAGGACTCTCATTGATTCGGGTCTCCGGACTCTCAGCAACGACACCTTCGCCGGAAACCCGCTTCTCAACCATCTGTAAGTCAATTTACACGTTTGCTATAGCTCCAATTTATGCGATACTTTAATCCGGCGCCACGACGGGAGGATTGGAGGTTCAGCTTCAACACCTCAAACATTTATAGAAATTAAAAATATGTGAATGAAAGAAATGTAACCCCCTGCATATTGTTGCTGCAACATTCGAGCAACAATTTTAGAAACCAAAAAAAGATTTCGAATAGACAAATGCATAAAATGCAATTTTCCAGTCTCGCAATCGGCGCATACAAGAATCTCTGAAGAGTCTCTTCAAGTTTCAATTAAATGCGATTAAATACAAAACGAGGTATTTATATATATCACAACTTCCACGGCAGCTCATTTATTCAAGTGCCTTTGGCATGGAGAGAACTTCAGCCGCTTGAGAGATTCCGTTTAATCCCGGAAGATTGCCCCAGAAGATTCGCAGAAACCCGGATTTTCTCGCGGGAAGCGGATGAAGCCTTCTCAGAATCAATCGCAGAGAATGAAGCATTCTCAGAATCAATCGCAGAGAATGAAGCATTCTCAGAATCAATCGCAGAGAATGAAGCATTCTCAGAATCAATCGCAGCGGTCGATTCTGTTGACCACTTTAAGTTCTCTTTGAATTCAGTTAAAATTAAGATTATCTTTCAACTCCGGGGCAAAAACTAAGCTCGATCCGAGGAATGAGCGTGAAACCGCCTTCGTCTCCTTCCCTATAGAGACCTGTCCGGGAACGAAATCGAGAGGTTTCCTTGGTGGATCGTCTCGCACCTCGACCTGAACCGGCTGTGAGTTTCTTATTCATTCTTTCACCGTTTCCTCGCATGGAGCGTGCATGTGATCAATGGCAATCCAATCTAATTAACTTTTCTTTAATTATGTGAAGTGAGTGTTTCCAAGGATCTCGACAGTAAAAGTACCAATTCAAAAATGGGAACGCGCAGACAGGGAAAAATCACATTAAGCCCCTCACATCATAAAATAATTGGCCAAGAGGTAAAATAATTAGAAGTCAACACGCGTAAACATTGGCGAAGGAGGATTCTGCATGCCAACCTGCTCCAAGGCATCAGACGTACCATGCCGGTGTAATGTTTTGCACTTTTTGCCCCTGTTATCTTCTGTGTCAGTTGCCAGTTTCAGCATATTTCCGCTCCTTCGGTGATAGTGTTTTCCTTTTTGGCTGAATCTTCCCCTTTTTGGCAACTTCTGCCCGTATTTGGCAACATCCACTTCCCTTCGGCAACTTCTACCCCATTTCCCGATAGAACCCTCCTGGAAATCCCACAACCCCAAACCGCTCACTGCAAAATTTAAATCGAATTTTGCGGAAAACTCCTTAGCAGCCTTTCTCCTGAAAGACAGAGGAAACGAAAGAAAATCGATCGGAAAGGGCGACATCCACGGCGAGGATGACATCCACGACAAGGGTGACATCCACGACAAGGGACCCCAAAGGAATCCACCCAAGCATCCCATGCCGCACAAAGAAAGCGGATATCCCAGCTGAAAGCGCTTTTAGGCGCTTCCATTTCAGTCTTAATCCGGTTCCAGTGCGTAATAGCCATTCTCATTACTTTCATTATCCTCGGCTTATCCCCAATTCATCTCTTCGAAGGGGTAGATGGGGTTTTGGCCCATCTATTGTTCCATAAATATCATTTCTGTAGGATACGCATTTCCATAATCATGACAAACCGATGGATAAATAGGGCACCATCCCGGGCATCCTCAACGGCTATCCCCATTTGGCGTTTTCAATGCATATTCAAGATATTCCGAAGGCCTCCATTCCAAAGGACTTCTATTCCGAAGGCTCAATTTCGAAGGACTTCTATTCCGAAGGCTCAATTTGTACGGTGCATGACAGGCGGATTATGGTCCTTTCCCCAAACGGAGATTTATTTTCGATTGCGTTGAGCCGGTCTCATCGGGCTTCCATTAGGCTCACATCAGCCTCTCTCATCAGTTTCTCATCAGCAGCTGTCACGAGGAGCAAAAAACGCTCCTTTGTCTCACAATGTCACTCAGGCTTCCATATAAATAAAAGTCCGATTGTTTAAGAGTTAATTTATTCTACTTAATTGAAAGTTAATTCTACTTACACGATTCGCACTAGATTGAAATTGGTTTTTTACATTTCCGGAAGACCGGAAATATAAAAAACCAAAAAAACAAAAATAGTTTTACTCTCAGGGGGCAATTGGTCGGACATTTATTGGGTTTGTATCGATTGAAATGAAATGCGCGATTTTCATGAATGCCAGAGAAACTCTTTAAAAAAATCATTTAAATGCAGAAACTTAATCGCTTTAGAGAGGCTCATTCTCCCAGTATAAATCCGCATTTTTATTTTATTACTTTAGGAATTTTTTATGCCACCCATCGGTCAGCTTCGCTTCATCATATTTCCTTCGCTTCATCAATCCGGCAATTCCGACATCAATAATGCATATAACAATTATTATTGCATTATTACTTTCGTGATCCCTGAGCAAGAAACAAAGCATCGATTTCTCCCTTCCCAATCTGCAAGCACGAGATGAACGCCAAATATTTTGTACGACCAATTTCGCCAATATTCGCACATATGAGGAATTACAGTGCTCGCCTCGATCCCTTTAACTCAGTTCCTTTTAACTCAGAGCCATCTCGACCAGAATGAGCTCAGCTAATCTCTTTTATTCCCCGTCGAAATTCTAAATATAGCCCTCCAATATCTTTGGGACTCTGGAGGTCTATATTTAAGTGAGTGATGGGAAGCGGAACAACACGTGAACACCTCATACATTATTCATGGGTCATTGAGCCGGTGCTCAATTTCCCCGGAAAAGGAGGAAGATTGGGTTGATGTGTTTATAGTGGGCGTCAGCGCCCGTACGAGGACTAGGCCGGATTGGGATAACGTTGTGGTCTATGGGGGAGCGTGGAAAACCGTTTCCGAGGTTTTTACTTTGAAGAGACCTTTTGTCGGAATTACCCCATCCAGTGGATGGGGTAATTCCGACATTATATTGCAATATATCTCTTAAATGTTTAATTTCGGATAACAGGGAGGCATGAATTGCTAACAATGCTGCAAAACTTGACATTAAGCAGGAATGACCAGACCACTTCAACGATTCGTCCTCAAGCAGGGAGGGTGAACCACGACTCCCCTCCCCCCTTGCTCTGCTCCTCCCCCCTTGCTCTCCCCCTCCTTCCCCCTACCATCCCCCTTCCTCTCCCCACCACTGGGGAGGACAGAAAGACAGGGTTAAAAGGGGATTCCGAAGTAGGAAGGGGTAGGGGAGTCATTTCAGAACCCGTTTCCACGAGAAACTGAACTCCATCCCCGTTTATTTTCATTCCTGTTCTTAGACAATTACAAGCAGCCCTTCCGACGCTTCAGTCAAGAAGAACTGCATCCGCAGTTTCTTTTAAAGGGAAGCCACAAACAAGCAATCGAGGAATGCAACGACCCCATCCTGCTACGCATGAAATGCTAATATCCGGTCGCAGGTGCGATGACAAGATTAATCTATTAAATCCCAACTTTTCCTGCTGCGGAATTTCTAAAAACCTTTATTGGATTCAATATTCCCCGGAGTTTCCGAAATAATTGAGTTCCCGGAAAAAGACAAACAGCAGTATTCAGAACAGATCGATTTCAATTTGGAGCTGTTTTTAAACTAATTTATTGCAGGTTTTTATGGATATCTCATCATATCTCGTCTGATTTCTCCGAGGTTAGGCATTCCTTGGATATTAGGTCGTGTCAATAAGCACTTGGCTTTTGATGGTGGGTTGTCATAGGGTTGACAGGAATTTCGGAGCGGCTTCGCATGAGCCTTGATAGCATTGACTAGATTGGCAATGCCCTCACGAGGGAGAAGAAGAAATTTCTCTGGAAATACACGGTTGTCAGACCACAATGGATTCGCTGCTTCGCGGAAGCGGGTGGATGCTCGCCTGCGTCGCGGGTGCTCCCCCTGACCTCCCTTCGACGATCCCATTCTCTCCAGGGGACTGAAGATCCCATTATACTCAGTGATTCGTATTGTCTGGGGATCAGAGCGTCGCAGCGGGCCTTCATTAGCAGGATGAAACCAATTGCGATATGGAACTTCTCAATTACCAACTGCTTGGAACAGATTCACAGCTTGAAATTCGGGAATGCAGTAGTTGGGAGCAGTTGTGGGTCACACATAACAGCTTTATTGCATATTTGATCGTTGGAGTGGCTCTTGTGGAAGACAGAATTCATTTTCAATGCACATTACAAAGTAAATTGCACAACGTACATTTTAAAATATACTATTTCAATGTACAATTTCAATGTACATTGCAGGCGTTCATATTCAGATAGGTCGCAGAACGGATGAAAGCATTTCACCTCACTCGATCCCCTATATGCAGGGAATTGAGGGGAAATCCTCTGGATTGCATCTGCTCCAATGCCTGGATCTTCGCGGAGAATCCCCTTCATCGGAGAGGGGCTCATCGGGGACTCGCCGTCGAGGGAGGGAAGACTTGCCGGCTCCCCGACGGCCTCTGCGGTAAATCCCTCACTCTTGCCTGTGGCGCGCGTCTGGGAGGAAATTTATCTCATCGATGTTGGGATTTTTGGTGAATCTGGGTCAGTTTCTGAATTTCAAATTTCTCATTAAGCTGAAGAAATTCTGTCCCGGATTTTGGTTGGGACCTGAAAGAAGTGGCTGATATTTCAATCGGCAGCAAAGTTGATTAGATGCTTGTATAAGATAAATCCGCACGGTTCACAAGTGGGAGGAACATTTTTGAGGAAGGACAGGGTTGTCAAATGTTCAGGTCGCATTCCCTTTTACGAGGGTGTTCGAAAAGTAGTGTCTACAAAGTTTTGACGGTGCTATAAGTTGGGTTATTTCATTGGTATTTGATACATATCTCCTAACATTCCTCCACATACCGGTACATACGTCAAAACATTTAAAAAATATTTTATTCAGGAGTCAAGAAATGAAGGCGACAATGGGCACTATATTTCGCCGTGATTGACTCCCTTGTGGAGCCCGGTGACAATCGTTTCACCACATTTCACTGGAAGCGTGATGCGATGCATGGAGAGGACCCGATTGATGTCAGCAAATGTTGGATAGGATAATTGACTCATTATGATGCAGAAAAGTCTGTGTCAGGTGGGTTCCGAAAGTGCTAACCGCTGAAATGAAGCTGAAATGAAGCTGAAATGAAGCGGGTGGCCGAGTGAACTTCGTTTTGGGTCGACCACTCGAAAGTTCATCTGTGCTGTCCATTTCCCCAGCTTTGATCTTGGAAACTCATCTCCGAAGTTTGCTGACATCAATCGTGTCCTCTACATACATCGCAGCAAGCTCTATGAATTGTGGTGTAATAGTTGTCACCGGACTCCACGAGGAATCCACTCAAGATCCGCTGACGAAATATAGTGTCGATTTTCGCTCTCATTTCTTCGCTCTTGAATAATTTATTTTTAAAATGTTTTGACACATGTGCGTGGAGGAATGTTGGGAGAAAATATATGCCAAATACCATCAAAATAGCCCAACTTACAGGAAAATTATAACTAAACAGGCATTAATTTTAAAACACCCCTCGAGCACTACCTCAGATGGTAAGCGAATGGAAGGTAAGCGTCTTTGAAATTCATCCTGTACCCCTTGAGGATTATCTGCTTTTCTTTGTGCGATTATGAAGAGGCGAGCTCATCCCGACCGGCTAACTCGACCCATCTGGCAACCCTGATTTCATTTCCTCCTTCAGATGATTGGCAGCACATTGCTTCATCGCCCTCTGTCTCCTCTGCTGACTCCTTTCCCCAACTTCATTAATTCTGTTCGACGACGAGATCTTTTTTGCTACTACAGAGAACATATTTTACCACAACTTAATTAGACTTTTTTGCACAGGGGATAAATTTGCCACAGACCCTGTCATTTTGCATTGTGCGCATAATTTAAATATGTCAGAGGAAGACCAGCTAAAAACAAGGCCTGCCGCGCCATTTCAACAATGGACAAAAAAAAAACAAGGTGGCCTTCGCTATTCAAAATCGGATTGGAAAAAAATCAGTCGTGGAATTTCCATTTAGCGGTGCCCGACGTGAAGATGCATCCGGAGGTGATCTCGGTGAAGGAGGGCGAGGCCTTCGAGGTCAACTGCTCCGCCGCGGGGAAGCCCGATCCTCAGGTAATTTCCCTTCAAAGTTTACCCGATTATTACTACTTTATCACTTGTTTACTACTTCTTTAATCCCTGGTATTATTTTTATGCCGCGTGCCATGAAATTTCAATGGATTTGCGATGGTCGAATCAATTCGAGAGTGCAACATCATTAGTCATAATCAAAACTTTAAATGAGATGGATATCCCCGATTGAACGACATGTTCCGACATGATTGATTGGGAATTGGCACTGCTGATTAGATAAAGGATCTATTTTCGGTCTGCTAACACTAATTGGACTTGTGGGGATCGACAGAATTACTGGCAAAGGAATGGGCCCATGGGAAATGATGGGATCGGAGTAAGTGCAACGGACTCACCTTGATTTTCCCTTCTCTAATGGGTTTAGACAGCCCTCAATTCTTCTGACCTATGAGAGCCCTCAATTCCCCTGTGCTTCCCCTCAATTCCCCTTAATTCCTCAGAACTTCGGTAGATCCAAGCTCCTCGAAAGTACGCCTTCCATTATGTGCGCAGGAGAAATGGTTTTACTAACGAAGTCCTTTAAAGAAAAATGCTGCAAAAAAAAAAGTTTATTTTCGAGGAGAAAATTTCGAAGTTCGGGAAGGATTTGGTATTTAAAATGCCGAGGACATTTTCTTTACGATTGCCTGAGACTCAAGGATGAGATTTTTTCCCACTGGTAATCGCGTCCCATTCACTGGTCTCCGTGCGAATTGATTGTGACTCCACAGAAGCAAAAATGTGCGCCAAAATGTTTAAAATGATCCTTCACCTCCAAATCGTGCCAAAAACAGGTGAGTGAATCAGATTCGATTGAAAAAACGGCGAGATTTTCGCTCGTGGCGTCGGAGACTCATCTCGCCAGATGAAAATCTCTCAGGCGGCCTCGTCTCCCTGCATACAACACGGACCAGAAAAATACAGTCATCGATCGCTGCCTTTCACCCGAGATGATTGAGAAGCCCCTCTTCATTACTTCCTCTCACGATAAAGAATTGGGGCAGTCCTCAATGGCATCAACTCATGCGTCAAAATAGTTAGCGATATATTAACAGACAACGTTTTTTCCCTATCTCCCCCTCCCTCTCAAACTCATTACTTCCTCCTCCCCTTCCTCCTCCCACCTTCCTCCTCCCACCTTCCTCCTCCCACCTTCCTCCTCCCACCTTCCTCCTCCCACCTTCCTCCTCCCACCTTCCTCCTCCCACCTTGGAGGAGGGTGGAAGGAGGAGGGTCCCTCCTCCTCCCACCTTCCTCCTCCCACCTTCCTCCTCCCACCTTCCTCCTCCCACCTTCCTCCTCCCACCTTCCTCCTCCCACCTTCCTCCTCCCACCTTCCTCTTCCCCTTTCTCCCAAATCCTTCGATGAACACTTAATCGCCTTTCGTGACGCAGCTGACGTGGAAATGGGGAGCGGAAGACGCGAAGGAGCGAGTCGTGGAGGAGCTAACCGGAGACTCCCTGAGACTCCGGATCCCCTCCGCCCGCTGGAACGACCACGGCCGGAATATGACCTGCGTGGCCACCAACGACGCCGGCCGAAGCCTGGCCCTTCTCGTGCTCAATGTCTTCTGTGAGTCTCCGCCGATAAGTCGCTTTCCATGTCTCAATCGAGCTTTTTCCCTCCGATTACATCCGACACGAGGCCAAGATAATCGTCCGAACCCTTTATTATTCTTGCTCACGCAAGAGTAATGGAACTTCCGATCTAGTTCATGATCACGCAAAGGCAATGTAGAATAAAAAGTGTTTTCCGCTAATTTCGTAATAGGTAAAACTTTGGTGTCCCTTAAATCCCTGTTAAGTGGCAGTCAAGGTGAACCTAGACATCTCCTATTCATTATGTAATAACTCAAATTCCCTTATAAAGTACTTTTAAGGTACTTATAAAAAGTACTATTTCGGCACTTGACCAGGCACGACAAGTATAAGAGCTCCACTCGTCGAGATTTTGACACTAAGTACTTTTTGGCACTATGTTATACAGAATTTACTTAGTCGTAGGAAGTAGCCACCCATGAAGTAAGTAGACACTCCCTTTAAAAGGGAACACCAACACATCCCCTTTAGTCCTGTATATAAGTTAATAGGCGTATATAAAGGTCATCCACTCGCTGGAGAGCGAGTCGGAGATAAGAGGCCATGACGATCAATTCTTCCCGCCGTATATTGGAATGGCGTCAGTTCGCGGAGAAAAAAAAGGGAGTGGGGGATGTTGCTTCCGCTCGGTATTGTGCCTCGCCAGGCACAATACCACAATTTATCGCCATCATGTAGAATCACCCGATCCAAAAAAATTCTGGCAGCTCCGCATCGCGCTCTAAACGGGTCGTCTACGAGCAACAAGCCGAAATGATGTTTTAGAGCCTCAATTTTCCAGCAACAAGCAAAGCTTAATTTTCAATGCTTGTTTGTTTTTTTTGGAGGCATCGTAATATTCGTTCCATTCTTCGGCTCATTTCCGAGGATATCCATCATTCAATTTGATGGATGATTTTGCCTATATAGCCCTTAATCATTTTGGATGGTCTGACGCGACTCCTACGCAATATTGCCTCATACTTGAATTCCCTTCCCCATAAACAACATTTCCAGTCGACGAAAATTTTTCCATCGGTCTCGATTAAGCAGATTCTAATTGCCTTATCACGCAGTCCTGCCCCGATTGACGCCGATGAAGGCCGAGGGACAGAACCGGTGCTTCTGGGTGATATCCAACCCGCCCGCGCGGGTGCACTGGCTATTCGAGGATAAGCCGCTCGAGGAATCCGGGCTCATCCGGTTGACCCAGGATTGCATCCCGACCATGCGCCCCCATGAGAAGAAATGTGAGTACAATAATTTTTTTAAATATTATGATGTTATCATGGTATTATCCAATTCACATCACATCACAATTCTCTTCAAATCTAATTCATCATGACTATGAGCCTAGCCATCATTACTCACCAGATCATCATAGTTGTTCCTCCAGTTTATATTTACATCCATCACAGCCAGACCCATTTCTCTCCGCTGCGCGCGAAGGCTGCTTGAAGGTGGACCTAGCGACGTACTCTCACGACGGAGAATACACGCTAGTAGCGGAGAATTCTCTGGGACGAGAGAACAGGTCCATGGAGGTCCAGTTCATGCTGGGGAAGCCGGCGGAGCTGGCCCAGGAGAGGGGACGCACCAGGCCCCATAACTTCCCTGTTCTCCTCCCCAGGAACAACGGGAGCGTCCATTTCTACGAGCAGCACGGCTCCAAGCCCATCGTGCTGGGAGCACTCTGGGTCAGTGCATTGTGTGCGGGGGAGCATGAATGGATGGGAAGAGCGAGTGAGAGGGGGAGAGGATGTTCATTGATAAGTGGGTATGGGGGTGTATGGGTGAGGGGGTGTATGGGTGGGGGGGTGGGGGGGTGTGGGGGTGTGGTAGTATTTATCTTCGTCTTATGAATCCCCCGGCGTCGTGAAGTGTGGCAATAAATCCCCAAAGATGAACGTACACTGTCGTGACGCTCTGATATTTTCGGTTTAAATTTGATCACAATGACAAGCGATCAGCCTTGAACCCCGTGACGATCGCCCAACGCGTCACCGGAGTGAACTCCTTACCGTTCGCTGCCGTTGAATCTCACCAATCTTCATCCCATTCACGATCGAGCGGTCAAAAAAACTGTTCAAACGCCAATCCTGTCGAAGGAGCGCCACTAAAGGCTCACTAATGAGTCCTTTGGGAATCGTGTTTTGGAAAGTAAGCGTTTTCACTGTCAGGTACTTTATGGCACAGGCCTCGCGCATCCGTCCATCTATTTTTTTTAAGTACCATTTTTTAGCTGACCGAAAACCGGGACTGTCCCACTTCGAGGACAATTTAAATCACAAATGTTTAAGCAAATAATATTCGAGTAGATTTCGAAGACTGTGCATTATTTACTAAAGACTATGCCGTGTTACCTGAGTGCACCAGGATTGAATTCTTTCCTCATCCTTATTTCTCGGCTGCGATTAGATCGGGTAAAAGATTTGAAGAAAAAAAAAGTCCCGCTTTTCTGCTGCGGTGAAGAAGGGACTGGCGTCGATCGGCACTCCAAAGTCGCTCTCGATGGTAAAGAAACACCTTCAGTTTCACTTCTTCGTTCAGGGTAATTTGATTTTTAAAAATTATAATCAGATTTATTGTCCCGCTCAGGGCTCTACGTATAACGTCATCCCCCCCGGATCAGGATCGAGTCCCTCAAATGACTCCATATATTAACATATTAGGAATCTCTGAAAATTTAAAAAATGAGCCGGCAGACCTGCGAGAAATGAACAATTAATCAATTGAATTGGCCAATTTCACGAAATGAGCTTTTAATTTATAAGCCTTCTAGTGAGACAATTAGTGATTAATCGAGTGCTGCTGAGCAGAATGCCTTTAATCCCGACTTGCGATTTTGTCCGGATTATCGAAGGGATAAAAACACCGCAAAATGCGTCCGTTTGTGAAAATATCCCCGACAGAAAAAGTGATGAAAAGAAGTCCGATTGTTTTTTTTCCTTTGAGAGGAGGACGAGAAAAGCTCTCCAGGAAAGAGCACAATCGACAGTGATAATTTTTTTCTCCCTAATTGTGAGGGAAAGGGATGGGGAAAGGACTTTCCGTCGCATTTCGTCTCGTTAATCCGCTAAACGTTTCGGATTGGAGAGAGGGATTAGCGGAATGACTGCCGAGGCTTTTCGAATGGGTTCCACGGGATTTCTGCCGAGATCAGAGCTATTGTCTGAACGAACTGGAGTGCCGGATCGCAACGGCTCGGATACACCAGATTGTAATTAGGGTTGGGAATGGGAGGAGAGGAGGCGGAATGGGCGATATGCGCAGCCTGCGGGACGGGTGTACCGGAAGGCCGATGGGGTCCGCGGGCAAGCAGGCATTCAAGGGGCATGGATGGATTTTTATTTTATTTGTATTAATTTTCTTTTAAATATTTAATTTGAGGGTGTTCCGATTTTGTCCAGGTGGTGCTCATTTCGTGCAGCATGTCGCTTCTCGTGATCGGTGTCCCCATCTTCGTGCTTCTCAGGGTGAAACGCTGCAGGAATGGATCGAGGTAAGCAGATTCTTTCGTCTCCTGTCGCAATTAGGCGAGGACTCCTGTCGCAATTAGGCGAGGACTCCTGTCGCAATTAGGCGAGGACTCCTGTCGCAATTAGGCGAGGACTCCTGTCCCAATTTGGGGCTCGCATCGCAGGAAAATGACTCTTAATAGCCGTATCGGGCATTTTTTAGAAGTCAGATCTGACCCTGCATAGACTGATTTTGCAATTTCGTCTAACACTTCATTCCTATAACACCGTGAATAGACCACCTGCCGCACGGCTAGTCTGCCCGAGTCATATTTAAAAGTACATGGCCTCTAAACTTTATCTGACGCAGAAGCGGAAAAAAAAGCGCCATCATCGCGCATGGAGGACATTCGGATTTCCTGCATGATCATGCTCTCATCAGAAGAATGATCAACGGAGGGTCACGTGACCATTGTTTTCTTCCCTTTCGGCATTTTTTTTACGCAGTTCGCAGTTCCCTGCTCGACTTGTGGCCCCACTCTGAAACTCATTTCCTTCCTCATTTTTCCCTTTCGACGAGTTGATTGGGTTTTTACTGAGATGAGTTTTTTCCTCCGAACAAAAAAAGGGCGGAACGAATTATCATTCCTAGATTGTTCTGACACAAAAAGAAGAATGATGCAAAGCCAAGAATGCGAAGCCAAGAAAATGAAATATATATATAAATAAATCCTTCCACGGATTATATATATATATATTATATATATATATATATATATATATACGGGAATATCCCCGAACAGAAAGTGCGGAAGTCGGAATTTCCCAGGCCTTCCGATGCCCCGGAAGAAAGGGGGCGGCAACGCAGGAAGAAAACTACGTCACAGAGATAATAATTTTTCCCAGAGAAAAAAAAAAAGCACGTACGAAATTATTAAATTGCAGATTCATTCGACGCCCCGCGGGAACCGATCCCGAGGCCCCCCACGAGTTCCACCCCCGCCTGATCCAGGAAAACCCCCTGTACGACGAGGACATCTCGTCCGCCTCGACGACGGACCCCTCGCACCCCCGCCTCGTCGAGATCCCCGTCCACGCCCTCGACCTGAAGCGACTCCTCGGCGTGGGGAACTTCGGCAAGGTCTACTTCGCCGTCTTCACCCCCGAGGATGGGGAAGGCAAGGAGGCCTTCGATGTTGCCGTGAGTGCCGCAATATTTCAGAAATATTGGTGCAATATTTGTGCAATATTCGAGATATATTTTATTGATTCGTTCTCTTCTATAACTTCGAATATTAATTTATATTTAAACATTAACATTATTATTATATATAAATATATTCGCACATTTAATTTAATATATTTTGCAATAATTTTTCGCTAACGTCCAATCGCATGGGATTCCTCGGAACTAAAAAAAATGACAGTAAGCTTTGAAGGTTTTAGAACAATGAAAAAGAGCAAAAAAGGAAAGGAATCATCCGGTTATGGAGCATTCCCTGCACATGCCGGCTATGACAAAGACGGTGTGGGTTGGGACATTGGGAAGCATAGAACGCAGGTTGTTCTGTGTGCAACCAAATCTTCTTTCTGAAAAAAAGTTGAAGATTCGAAAAAAGGTCAATAACAATGAATATTATTTCAACATCAAGTTTGTCAATATATAATTTCACTATATTGTTGAAAAAGAAATGCCGCTGTTTCGAAGTGGTGGCAAATTCATCGGTAAAGAAAATAATATTTTATTATTATTTTAAATTTAAATCAAATCCGACCCTGAGATTTGACTCAGAAATGCATTAGCAAATCAGATCGTTCCCTGAATTGATTTGAAAAGGTGTATGATTTGCAATTATGCTGTCGCTTGAAATTATAAGTCTCGTTATAATTGCATACTAAAACATGCAGAGAGAGGGAGAGAGAGAGATTCGTATGATGGATCCTTTGGATGAAATTTGAGTAATTTTGTATGCATTAGACATCCCTTAAATATCGTATGCATTATTCATTAGAGTTCTACTGATTATGGATTTGTATTCATTGGCCTATGTAATTGAATTTTTTTTTTCTTCTAAGCTTTTGAACTGGGTGCAGTAATGTTAATTTCGATTTTCTCACCTCCGCATTCCGCGATCACGCTCTTCCCACGAGCAGGTGAAGTTCCTTAAGGAGGGAAGCAGCGAAGAGCAGAAGCGGGAGATCCAGCGAGAGGCGCAGATGCTGGCAAGGATGCGGCATCCCAACATCCTCGAGCTCCTTGGGATAGTTAGGAGCCAAACGATCGGGATCGTCTCCGAGTTTATGCCCCTCGGTGACCTCAACAGCTACCTCAGGTGAGTCTCTAAATTATTTTTAAAAAAATCCAAGTTATATCCTTCGGGTGCCCGGAAAGCAATGAGAATCGTTTGTAAATTCGTAATGCAAGCAGCCGCCGCAAAACAAAATTTGAACCGCGTGAATGCGTTGAAGCAAAAGTTCTCAGCGCTTTTAGTCATAGCCAAATTGAACAGCCCGCGTTGCACTGATTTCATAGAGGTCTTTTGATCTTTATATATATTGATCTTTTGAGGTCTGCTCTGTAAGCAGTTCTCAGCGGATCGACTTGAAAATAGGCAACCACAGAGATTACATATCGATCTGAATGCAGTGCTCGCAGAGTTTCAAATTTACAAATGATACCCATTACTCTTCGGACACCCGAAGTATATGCATATGTATCAGTAATTGCGGTATAAACAATGCATCACTGTTTCTTAGCGTAATTTCACACACTAAGCGAGAGTACAGCAAGATTCTCCAGGTTACGACGAGACTTTTTACATTTCTGCTTTTTTGGAATATTTTTACTAAGGCAGGAAGAATGGTCCTCCCTATCCTTTCGATCTCGATATTACAGTCGATCTGTAATATTATAGCGTTAAGAACAAAATTTTCCCCGTAGCCAAGGAATTGAAATTCCCAGTTTTTTGTATTTTTCTTGCCAATATTTTATTACGATGTTGTTCTGCGACTACGACAACCATATTGCTATTTTGTTTTTGTATTTAAAGCAATGTCTCGCCAAATTTTTCAGATGTATACAAAGTTACCTGGAACCCCTGAATTATTTACCTTCCATAATTAGAAGACGCTGGTAATTTCAAATATTCGAATGGTCTCTTCACCGAAGAGAACCGACTTCAACAGGTTGCCTCGGTGAAAATGCACCCTCCCTTTGGAAAGCTGTTACAAGGACACCTTTCGCGTTTCCTGTGAACAAAAATTTGCACACTGGGAAAAGGGAATCATAGGGGAATGTCATGGAGATCATTTCCACCCTAGACTATCTTGTATAGCTTGTATTGTATTGCATTGTATCCCCAACGGGCCAACTGAATACTCCAATGCTCTCTGCACGGTAAATGTTATAGGTGAGTGAAGGATAGACGATGGGTGAAAAATGTACATACGTATGTTCATTGTGACATATTCACACCAGGGAGTGTTCATCTCTCACTGAGAGACTCGCATAACGCTCTTAATGAGTGTGCAGGCGGGGAATATCAGGTGAGATGAGCACCGTTGGGGGAAACATTTGTATCGTCTGAAAGTCTTGAGCCATCCTCACCCCACTTTGCTCATCCACCTCGGTCGTGCTCACCCCTGTAGGAGAAATTGATTGATTGAACTTCAATTCTCCCGTCCGAGAGGACTGGGCCCACATCGCCTATGCACGAGCAAAGGGTACTTTCTTTCACCCTGAATTTAAATATATAAATAATGTTAAAATATTTTTTTTTTCCTCATTCAACCGTTCTCAGAGAAACACCATTAACCTCAAACATACAAACTCCAAAATACTCAAGCAAGGCCTCAAAGCCGTTCATTCCTATGTAGCCCTGCAAAATGTAGCGAAAAATGTGGGTCTTGGGTCCTGCCAGGACTGAGTTTAAGTACCAGAATGTGAATGAATGACGGAATGAATTGGATTAATTGAAATAAAATACCTGCTAGGGTTGAGGCCTAATTTCTCCCATTAGCTCGAAAGCCCTCTGCTTTCCATTTTCCTTCCACGTGCGTCTAATTTCTCGATTTCCTCATTTTAATGGGTTTTCCCTGCTGAATGTTCACGTGGTTCCCTTCTACTTGGAGAAATATAGAACAAAATGTCAAGGCATTCGCATAGAAGCTCACCACGAAATTCAGATCAGATTGAAGTCGAATTTGCCTCGTGCATGTGAGCCATCTCCATCACCTCTGGAGCATTTCTCCTTCATTCATTTCTCCTGAAAAAAAGAAGAAATTTTCTAAACTTGGCTTAAGTAAATCGAACCGACTGCCCTCTGATGGCGGGCGGGAAAATAAGGATGACATGGAAGAGCCTTCGCGATCATGTTCCCTGTTCCGCTGGATCACTGTGCCCACTGTGCCCATTGATCCCATATCATACTTTTCCCAGTTTCGGTGACTTAAAAATAATTATTGAATTGACGAAAATTTGACGTACGCACCGGCTCGACCCAACAACCCCTGACGGCCCGACACTCGCGAGAAGGGGAAGGGAAACGCTTATCATGGCAGGCGTCGCGAGAGTGGTTGGATGTGCAATCGGTGAGAGCAAGGCCGATTATTCGTAACTGAAATTCAATAATAATTTTTTATGAAACACAGTTTAAGATATTTCAAGTCTGAAAAAAAGCATTTTGTAACTGAGCCTTTCTTCATTTTATTACATGTAACAGAAAAATATCATTGAAAACGTCACACCTAAGACGCTAATTGCAAAGTGTGCCCTTTCTGGGCCACCCTGTAGAGCCGAATTGCGGAGGAAGGGAATGAAGAGTCGCGGTTTTCTGCAGGAAGAGAGGCCCGGATTCGGGAATGTTAGGAGGGGAGGGCGGAAGCGAGGCGCAGCTGGGTCAACTGGGACTGGAGGACTTGGTCAACGTCGCGATCCAGGTTGGGTCAGGGATGAAGTACCTCTCGGAGCAACACTTCGTCCATCGGGACCTGGCCACGAGGAATTGCCTGGTCGGGGAGAACCTCACGGTCAAGATCGGGGACTTCGGCATGTCGAGGGATGTCTACAGTTCCGACTACTACAGGGTTCGTGGCTTCACTATCTCGTGGTTGGACGTTTTAGTGGCTTAACCACCTAGAGTCCTGACTGATGTGTGAAAGAGAATTGCATGCCAGAGTATGAAATATTGTTCATATAACAATTATTATTCTCAAAGTAATTCACGTAAATATAAAAATAAGTAAATAGTATCAGCATAGTTGTGGTGTTATCCGCAGCATGATCCGGATTATAATTCTGCAGACGACAACACGCTGAAAAAGCTGCAGCAAAAAAAGTGCATCGTCAAAATTGAAAACATGATCCGCATGAATAATGCAAAAGACAAATAGGAACCCGGATCGATGCATCCGGGTCAAAGAATTCCTTTCATCAAATTTTGCTTCTAATGGAAAGGAAAAGAAATGCAGAGACAATGTCGCCTTCTCGGCTTCGATGCGCCATAATGACATTTGGAAGCATGCGGCGGGATGGCATGGGAGAGCAAGAGGTGACATGGGAGGGCAAGAGGTGACATGGGAGAGCACCACCTGTCGCCATCAGCTCTGCGATGGAAATTTATTCCTTCGTCGAATTTTCAATTTAAAAAAAAATTACAGCTTTCCCGCTTTCTTTGTATATGCTCCGGCATTCGATTTCTTAATTTTTATTTAAATTATGAAAAAAACGAGAAGCAAGGGTTTGCTTTCCCTCACATTTTTCGAGAAACATTTTTTTTTACATGATTCATGTATTACTTTCATCGCCATATTATCACAGGCTCTCCGCACATGTCTACTTGCATTTCTTGTTGCTCTAATATTTGTTGTGCTCTTTGGTTGCTTTCGTTTCACTTTTGTTGCTTTCGGTTATTCAGTTTCAATTTCCGTATATTTTTTGAGGGTCATTCCCATGGTCGTCAGGATTCTCGCGGTGTCCCGGGGGAAGAGGCAAAGGTCTTCATTAGGCATGGGGGCTCATTACGCAAGGGCCCTCATTAGGGAGATCCTTCGTTTATGCGTCGCACTCGCCAGCCACTCCCCTATCACCCAACTGAAACCATCGCCTGTGATAAGGCGGAAGTCTCTTTGCAGTTCGGAAGCGGGAAGTTGGTGCTGCCGCTGAGGTGGATGCCGCCCGAGAGCATCATGTATCGCAGATTCAGCATCCAATCCGACGTCTGGTCCTTCGGAGTCGTCCTCTGGGAGATCTTCTCGTACGGCAAACAGCCCTGGTTCGGATGCTCCAACGACGAGGTGAGTGGCGGTGCATCCTCGATTCTGGCAGGGCTCTCGTGTTAGCAGGAGTGGAGCCGGTGGGAAAACAATGTATCTCTCTCTGACGAGAAATCTCATTACGGGGCATTCTTCGATAGTGGCAACCTGGGGTGTCGATGGAAAGGTGGCCTGCCAGCGTGAGAACGACATATTTCATTTACGCGAGAAGCGTCACGAGGATACGATTGCGCGCAGATACTTCCTCCGTAATGAGAGACGTGGAAATTACGATTTTTTTTCCCCTACCATCGAGATACAATAAATTCCTTATTAACAGACGTCCTTCGGGATATATATCTCACATCGAAAAAAAAAAGCCACGAATCATCGGATAGTAGCAGAGGGATCAAACCTGTTCATACTGTTTGGAAGCCACCAACCTGAAGCGACGTTATCTCTCTCAGTTATCCTCAGTTATCTTTTGCCACAAAATCTGACCCAAGCGATCCAGAGTTACTAGAAGTGGTCCAGAGTGACCCCATTTTACTCATTGAGCCCACTTTAGCTTGATTATTCTGGAGTAACCCAGGTCTAATAAAACTGACAGAAAAGTATCAAAATTTACTGAAATTGACCCTAAGTGACCAATTGACCCAACTTGAATCAATTCCTTTTTTAAGACACTTAAACTAAGATTTTGCCCTCCTTCCTAGTTCGAAAAATGTGAAGACCCCCAGACGTTTCCAGTCAGAATGAGAGCGAAAACTCGCCAAGAACCATAGCCGAACGAGTAGGCATGATATTCCTCTTCGCCAATTGGCAAAAAAGTCCGCTGCTCCCGTCTAGGGAAAGAAGGCAACTGACTTTTTCCATCATCTGTATTCCCACCGGCTCAAACCAAACCCAATCTGCGAAATCAAATAATGAAAATTATCCTTTCGCTCGTCTAGTTGCATTCGAGGAAATTAACGAAGAAGCCGATATCGGATCCTGTAACGCTTTAGATCAGTGCGAAAAACCCGTTACCGTGCGGTGTCAGGAAGGGCGTCCGCTTCGGTTTTACCAAAGAATGGCTCCGGGTTCTCAAGGAACTGACTTGAACCAATTTATCTTACCTGAATTCACTATCGCTTCTTTCTTGAAGGGCTTGCTTACATGCGTCTGGGTCTAAAGGGAATCTCATTTTCTCTGTTGATAAGCCTGCAGTTTAGTCTCAGATTTTTCGGAATTTTTTGAGAGTGTGGCATTATAGGAGGAATGCCAAAGTTTGGTTTGCGAAGTGTAGCAGAATGACAATGCTAATTCAAAGAAAACGGGAGATGGAGCCTTGAGGTTGGGATTTTCCCCAGGGGAAAAATTGAAATAAGAAAAAAAGTATGGCGAAAGTAAATTAATGGCGGAAAGAATTTAAAACTCAGACTTGTTTTACAGTATCTCTTCCCTTCAATCCAAAAACCAAGTGGTTCAGCCAGCTCTTTTCCCTTTTATTCGGGAAAGGTGCTGCAGCTGGTGATCAGCGGGCAGGTGCAGCGCTGCCCTGAGAAATGTCCCCGAAGCATCTACAACATCATGCTGGCGACGTGGAAGGTCACTCCCGAGAACCGCATACCGATAGGGAACGCGCTCGACCTCCTCCACGGGGTGATGAGCAACATCAACACTTACCTGGAGATCCAGGCGGGCGAGGTGGATCTGGACAGCCTGGAGCCGCCTCCTTCCTGACCCTTCAGGAGGAAATGTGATATTCGCGACGAGCGAACTTGGGTGGGAAATCGCATCGCTGAAATGATGGCTGTATCCCTGGAAATATAAGTTGGAATTCGGGGAGGCAGTCATCGTGTTATTTATTGTGTCGATCGAGGACACGATCGCAGGCTTCCGCGGACATTTCCCTTTGGATTCAGGGGTCTCTCACTGCAATATTCGACGATTTTTACGAGAAGGCCTCTCGTCATCTAATAACCACGAAAATCTTGCAGGGCTTGAGGCACACAAGAGAAGAAATTCTAGGAGTATAATGGGAAAGGCTTCTCTTTGCTTGGAGACGGAAAACACGGCATTCCCTTTTCTTCTCTGATGAATAGGTGGCAGAGAAACTGTCTCACGGCAATCGTCATTTAGTTTTTTTTTAATTACAATAATATTTTACCATGATTTTTTGGGAGGGAAGCAATTATGCGCGAAATGCAGGTTTCATGCCAATTAGCATCTTTGTGCAAAGGAGAGCTGATTGGATGCCAGTGTGAAGATTAAAAACTTTAGGATCCAAGGCACCACATGAATGAAGATGTCGACACAACCCGTGTCGACTCCTGTCGACCGATGCCTCCTCACATCAACACCCACGTTACCATCCGTGTCGTCCGCTTTTCATTAACTCACTGAAATGTGATGAAGCAGCAATGTAATTGATGACATTGTAGGGATGACATTGTAATGGATGACATTGTAATGGATGACATTGTAATGGATGACATTGTAATGGATGACATTGTAATGGATGACATTGTAATGGATGACATTGTAATGGATGACATTGTAATGGATGATATTGTAATGGATGACACCGTAATGGATAACACCGTAATGGATAACACCGTAATGGATAACACCGTAATGGATAACACCGTAATGGATGACACCGTAATGAATGACGTAGTGGATGACAGACATTCTGAGAAGGTCGTGACGAGTTCGAGACTTAATTCGGCCATTCCACGAAAAGGAGAAGGGGAACGGCTCAAGAAGCCATTAAATAAAGCGATCCCGAAATTAGATTCCACCGATTTTAATGAATCGCTGGTAATCTCATTTTCGATGCTCATTCCGGATTGCTTGCATCACAGACCGTCAATTGGAAATAGTGGAATTCCCGCTGCCTAAGACCGCGAATTTACATTTGAATCACTATATTCTTTGAAGCCAGAAAAATCAACGGGGCTCGAGCCTGCGGATGGAAATGAAAAAGAATTCCCTGAGGTAATTTTCCATTGGCCCTTTTCCCTTTTTATTGCGGGTCGTGGGCCAATACCCGAGGGAAAAGTTACATCCGTTTCCCATTTTTGTTCGGGTTTATTTTTACTCTGCTTTCGTTGCAATGCCGGAGAATGCGCATCCGGTCTCATGATGACAAGCCATCCTGCGACAAGCCACCCGGTGACAAGCCATCCAATGATAACCAGATCAACATTCAGACATCGAATAATAATTGAAGGAGTCGTCGCCATCGCACCATCAAGGCAGAACGCGGGCGGAGCATTGAAAGCCGAAAAATTTCTCGATTCTTCATTTTCTCGCCTATCAATCAGCGTCGGCGATCTCCACTAAGCCCAATCGAGCAGCAGCGTCATCGACGGAGGACGAATTCCCTCCAGTTGAGGACGAATTCTCGCAAGGGTGAGACCGAGATGAGGCAGGGGATGAGACGCGAGATGCATAGGAAATGAGAATGTGCACCGTTGCAAATAATGCGATTTGCATAATGCCAACGAACTCGTTGAACTCGTAAATGCAGAGGACGAAAATGCAAGTTTTCGGATCGTATCTGGCGACAAAACTTATCTGATTTTTGCGACAAATCCGGCAGAAGTCGCCCATCAGCAAACTGATGGCTCGACCGAGTCTAGATTCCGGTCTAGAGCAGGTCTAGAGGCCGGTCTAGAGCAGGTCTAGAGCAGGTCTAGAGGCCGGTCTAGGCAGGAGACAACCGTATCATTCCTTCCCTTGCCCTCAAGGACAAGTGGACGTTTCCATTCGTTAGGAATCGAGAGTGAGCCTTAAAAATTATGGACAATAAATTTTTTAATTAAGGAAGACTTCAATTAAAAAATCTAATAATCCAGCGCCGAGTTGAAAGAGACAAGAGAGTTTCTTTCCCCCGTTCTAATTGCCGTCTGCCCCATAACTGTGCCAAGCCCGTAATGGGGACGGAAAGCCAATGGGGCAGAAAGCCAATTGGGCCAGAAAGCCAATTGGGCCAGAAAGCCAATGAAGGACATAGAAAATGGCTGGAACTGGCTCCTTTTCTTTTCTCTTCGCTTTGGATTTCTCGTCTGTTCACTTCCGCTCTTCCCTGGCCCAATTGCCACTTTGGGTTGCGATAAACATTAAATTAAATTCCCATGATTAAAGGCCATTTGGATCGGTGTTAAAAGAAGGGCTTCGGAACGGAACGAAAATGGCCTGGAATGGTATGTAACATGGAACGTTATTTACTAACAGCTGAGAAACGAAAAACCGGAACGAAACTAAATATTCTCGCTGTATAAAAACTATTTCTTTTGTTCCGTTCCGTTCCCTTCCGTTCCGTTCCCTTCCGTTCCGTTCCCTTCCGTTCCGTTCCCTTCTGTTCCGTTCCCTTCCGTTCCGTTCTGTTTTAGCTTGCAATTGCGCTGATTGAAATTCCTCCACATTCCTCGGAACTTACTTGCCTCTTGAAGTTCTAAGGCGACTTGATACCACTTTAGCCATTTAACTAAGCCCTGACGTGTGAGCTCGCGTGTGGACTGGCTCAGCGCGGTCTCGCCTCCCTTTCCTCCTTCGATCTCCGTGGAGAGGGGGAGCTCCTTCGGGGGGGGGCGGGGGGGGCGGAGGGGGGTGGCGGTCGGCCGATGTCCGGTCTGGATTATATGAATAATTTACTGGATGTTTAAATAATCGTCTTTTCCGGGAAATGGCTATTTGTAAATTTCGGAGCGGAATGAGGCCTTCTTGACGGGATGATGAGGAATAACCGGGAGGCCGCCTTCAAGGTCACGCCAAGGCCAATCTTTTTTCTCTAATGGAAGCTCAATTCTCGACTTTCAAGGGGTCGATCTATAAAGGCCCATAAAGGCCCATAAAGGTCAGTCGGTGGAACGCTAGCCCGATTTGAGGCCCGTTCCGGATGGGTCTGAGGAGGGAGTGCTTCCAGGAACCGTGAAGTTCCAGGTGCCATCTTGTTGGTTCAAGGATGTCGGGATGAGATAGCCGGCGCAATATCCGGCAACACTGGGGGACGGAACCGTAGCCGGCACTCAAAGTCTGAACGAACGACAGCCAATTTCATTTTTATCGCGAAGTGATGCATCGCAAGCAACAAAAAGGCCCTTTTCATGAAGTCAATAAAAATTTTATAGTGGATCTCTTTCCTCCCAAAACTCCCCAGGAGTGGCTATCGAGGAGGGGGAGGGGGAAGGGGGGGAAGGAGGGGGGGAGGAATGAAATCGATATTTTCGAAAAGAGAGATGGAGTGTTCTTCACAACCCAGAGGAGATGGAGCTTCATATTTGCTGGAGCGATTTTGTGTCGAGAGAGGAAAAAGCATGCCCTCAGAGAGGAAAAAGCATGCCCTCAGAGAGGAAAAAGCATGCCCTCAGAGAGGAATAAGAGTTTCGATTTCGTTCGAAGGAGTCGGATTGGTAAGTATATTGATAGTAATTAAATATTAATAAAATAAATAAAGACACCTGTGCATCTGATTTAAGCAGCAAACTTTTCAATCCGAATGACTAATGTCATTTGGATGCAATCTGGCCCAGTTGTAGTTGCACCATACATCTGACTGGGCCAGATGTAATAAACGAGCCAGATGTAATCAATTTTTTTTTGCTTCGTCCTTCCGCACATCGTCAATCTTCCCACTTTTATTTTGGCCGGGGCAAGGAAGAGAAATGTCCCGGAATTGCAGGAATGACGGAATGGAATTATATGCTTCCGTAGAACGGAACGGAACGGAACAGAACGGAACGGAACGGAACGGAACAGAACGGAACGGAACGGAACAGAACGGAACGGAACGGAACAGAACGGAACGGAACGGAACAGAACGGAACGGAACGGAACGCGAAAAGTTCCGTTCCGAAAACCTAAGCAGGGACTTTTGCAAGCACGAGGGAGAAGGGAGGGAAAAGGCCATCGATCAGACAAATCTATTTAGGGAGTTGGTCGGGCTTATCACGAATATCCGGATTATCCCGAGGAGAGCAAACAGTCTACTGGAGCTTATCTCCCCAGGATCGTCTCCACGAATTCACCCTTTCGCGCAAGGTGTCCACTGCAATGGATGCGTAATGGACATGTAATGGACGTGTAACCGACGGCAGAAATGTTCAGACATCATCAGTGTATTAATACATCAGCACTTGGTAATAACAATATAATAAATAGGAAAAACGGTACCATTTAAGAGCATGCCAGAAACACTCGGAGCCCCGCAAGCAAGCAATCGAGGCGTTAGCGCCCTCAGAGAGAAGAAAACTTCCGGTCGGGGAAGGAACTCCGTGTGCGGAATCCTGATTAGATCCACGAGGCCGGAATTTTTCCTTCCGCTGGGGAAAAGCAGGTCGTTAGGGCGACACGAAGTAGAAGTGACATGGCATGAAGGCGACACGACATAGAAGTGGCATGGCATGAAGGCGACACGACATGGATGTGACATGGCATGAAGGCGACGCGACATGGAAGTGGCACGATAGCCCGAAAATTTTCCTAAATTGGATTTTTCCATCCTGGGAGTCGTTTGTGTCTGATAGCTATAATTAATTTTCGTCTGCTTACTTTGCTTTATATTATTTTTATGACATATGCTATAATTTAAGCTATAATACTATTATTTTATACCGGAACTTGTAATGCGAGTCATTGGTGGTCTCAACTGTTCGTGATGATTCCCCGAAAGAGGTCGATCCTACGACTAATCCCAATCGATCCTACGACCGATCCCAATCGATCCTACAACCGATCCCAATCGATCCTACGACCGATCCCAATCGATCCAATCAATTTTTTTCTCCAGTCAAATCGTACCGTTTTCGCTGATGCATCTCGCGATTTATGAAACCATTTCAACACGAAAACGAAACCATTTCACCACGAAGGCGAAGCCATTTCAACCGGGGCGAACCTCTTCCCAGGACGATTTAAGACGCCTCCAGCTGGATTTCAAAGAATCCCTTCCAAAAATTAAAGTCTCTCTGCTGTCGCCGTCCCCATCGCCCTCGCGGAGCAATGCAAAAGTAACGCCGTGTGTGATGCCATCGCCGCATTCGGTCCGAGTGGCCTAAAGTGGCCCAAAAGGACCCAATCGACCCTTTAGCTCAACTTCACCCGAATTATCCTAGATTGACCCGGGTTGGCTAAAATAACCAAAGGTGACCAAAAGTGACCAAAAGTGACCAAAAGTGACCAAAAGTGACCAAAAGTGACCAAAAGTGACCAAAGGTGATCAAAAGTGACCAAAAGTGACCGAAAGTGACCCAGTCTAACCCAAGTTGATGTCAAAGGCGATTGACTCAGGCCACCTACTAAGCTCATCAATTTATTCCAAGCCTTTCAGCAAGACTGCAGGGGTGTCGACGAACGGTCGGCCAGTTCAGTCGCCAAACCCTCTGGGATTGTCACGGATGAAACGAGGAACGAAACGGATGAACACCGCTGAAGAACAGAAACAGCCACTTTCGATCGAAAAACAGTCGCAATAATTGTTTCTAGAACGTTTTTTTTTTTTTTACTTCGTTGATTCCTTCAACACGGCGACAAGGAAGATTTCATGACGTCCTCGTAACTCGGCGGTGGGTCGAGAAAGGATTTGACGGGGAATTGGGTGCGGGACGCGGGGAAGTGCCCGTTGAATCGCTGGTCCTCGACCCACAACGAAACCGTGGGGATTCTCGACCACGGCACGCAGGTCGGGACGCGGGACGCCAGGAAGGGAGGGCCGTCGGAGGAAGGCCGATCGGCGAGGACCACGTCGACCAGGTCGGCCGTTTCCCTCCAGGCGAGGGATGACACTTTCTTCACGACGAAGGGAGGCACCCCCTCCCTCGGGCTCGGGCGGATGCTCTTTAGGTACCAGGACCTCCCCAGGATCGACGGCAGTGCGTCCTGATGCACCCGGCCGCTCACGCGCGTGGCCCGCCGGTCGACGACGCTCCGCGGCCTCGTCACGTACCACGTCCGGTACTCGGCCGGGTTCTCTCGCACCAGGACGTACGGGACGTTCGGCAGCATGTACAGGGCCGGATTCAATCCCGCTGCGAGGCACTGCAACGGGGAAAGAGCGCATGCAATCAGCATAAAAAATGCATGAAATTATCTATTTAAGCGTTGCATCGATCGTGGCAAAAAAAGGAGGAACGCAGAGAAACAACTCGGAAATTCCGGCAAAAAAAATTTAAACCGCGCCTCAATGGAGCCTACTGTAATGGCAGAAAAGAGCGATTGAGATCAGGTCTCAGCAAAATACCGACGATTCCCGTGCAAAGCGATTCATAGAGTTTAAAGCGGGCCAGCGATGCGCATCGACGGAGCAAAGGAGCAGCCACCGAATGGATGATCCCGATCATCGAATCAGCCGAACGCCGAAGCAAGCCCCGCCGACACGCGCTCACTTCGTCGAAGGAACCAAAAGTCATTTCGACTTCATGCCTGGCCGTCATGCCTGGCCGTCATGCCATCACCTTCGTAACCCAAGCAATCTCGACAACGGCAGGCCTGCAATCGCTCTCCTTGCGACTGCCGATCGAAAAAGGGACCAGGATCCCCAGAAATGTCGGAGATCTCGAAGAAGTCATCCTTCCTCCAGAGATGAGGCGTATTACTCCAAGCGCATTACGCGTGGACGTTTTGCACGTCTCTGCGGAAAAGTCGGAGCCCCCTAAGTAGTAAGCGGGAGATGCGCGTAGAATGCATCTCTTCCGTTGTGATGTTAGGGGAATAATTGAGACGTATAACAGGATTTCATGGGTTCCGTTGGAACAGTGGTTACACTAGGAGGCCCCCCCCCCCCCCCCCCCCCCCCCCCC